AGAGTGTCGAAAAAATTAATTAGATCCGTGTTGAGATAGAAGCAGTGGCACGAGTGACCAGTGGCGTAGCCAGGATCGTCTCAAGGGGGGGGGGGGGGGGGAAGGGGTTCCAATTTTTACCCGGGGACAAACTTTCGATTAGCACCCCCTCCTCAAACTTTTGATTTGCACCCCCCTCAAACTTTCGACCCTACCCCCCCCCCCCCCTGCCTACGCCACTGCGAGTGACGCAACACGACACAAAATGGTTTAGTGTTTTGGCTCGAGATGTCGATGTTTTCCCACAGTGCATCAGTTCACTAACATTGAGAAAAAAACTATAACTGACTGTGAGAGGGGAGCTGATCTTGGACAATGCGGGATCGAAGCCAACTCGGCCGACAGATTAAAAAAACCTAACGGCAGCCTTTGCTTCCAACAACCAAGCGGATATTGAGAAACATTCATGCAAGTGGGTTCAATAATCAGTAAGTACATTTGTCTTAATTTTTTTCTTTAATTACTATACCTCCATGAGACAATTGTACCAAAAATTAAAATCCATCTTTTCTGTAAGATGTTCCCTGTTTCTGTTCCCCAGACGGTCATTAGACTACATGAAGTGTATCCAAGCCCAGTACAACAAATGGAACCAAACCTCTAACATGTTCCCTGTTTCTGTTCCCCAGACTGTCACTAGACTACATGAAGTGTATCCAAGCCCAGTACACCAAATGGAACCAAACCTCTAACATGTTCCCTGTTTCTGTTCCCCAGACTGTCACTAGACTACATGAAGTGTATCCAAGCCCAGTTCACCAAATGTGATCCTAAATTTTTTTCTTCTACAAGTTTCCTCGCCTCGGCCAAACTTCCAATGATTGTGTCGATGATTGTATCAACGATTGTATCAATGATTGTATCGATGATTGTATCAACGATTGTATCAATGATTGTATCAATGATTATATCAACCATTGTATCAATGATTATATCAACGATTGTATCAAGGATTGTATCAATGATTATATTAACGATTGTATCAATGATTGTATCAACGATTATATTAACGATTGTATCAATGATTGTATCAACGATTGTATCAATGATTATATCAACGATTGTATCAATGATTGTATCAACGATTATATTAACGATTGTATCAATGATTATATCAACGATTGTATCAATGATTGTATCAACTTACCCCAGGGTTAGATCAGCGGCAAAGGTACCATTACGCTACCCTCCTGTCCCCCCCCCCCCCCCCAACCAATCAAAAACAAATGTATTTGTCCATTCCAAAGTAATTTTTTTCGTGCACTTTACCAGTGGTAAAAAAAACAGGACTACTGTCACTTTGATTGTTCTACGGTAACTAACACATGCTAATCGAAAATTTCTTTAAAAACCGTCTAGTTAAGTCTAGTATGAAGGACGAACCTTGAAACCACCTCTTCTCTATTCTTTAAACAGTCGAATAGGAGTATCCATTAAGCTCCTTTAAACAGTTTTTTTTACTAAGCAAAAAGTAGAAAGCAATTATTAATTTTCTTAATTGTTATTTAAATAGACAGATAATAAACCGGGAGGGATCTCCCCTAAACTTTCTCAAATATTCTTATATAAAATAACAGGGGATGGGAACTCGGGCTATAGACATGATTTTTAATCCATTTTAAATACTTAAAGTTTTAAAAATATAATAAAATCTCGTAGACAAATTAATTGCACACCAAGTGAACGCCAAATAAAAAAGCGCATAATAGTGCGCAATATTATTAGTACTTCTAAAATTTACATTAGTTTTTTGAGAAATCGAAAGTAGCGTAAATTACTACTTCCAGTCAACGGAAATTACTCAAAATTTAACAGAAGGTAGAGAATTAGATCTTTTACTTACATGTGAAATTTCATGTATCTATCTGAAATAGTACTCAAGTTATAGGCTTTTGAAAAATTCAAAGTAGGAAAAGTACCACTTCCGGTTATCGAAAATCGCTCAAAAGTTGATACGGATCTACGATTTTGATAAAATACTTATATATGAAATTTCATCAACCTAGCTGTAACGGTACTCAAGTAATCGTGTTTACACACAGACACACAGACACACACACACACACACACACACACAGACATACGGACAAGATTGCAAAATTATGTTTTTCCGTATCAGTGAGGTGTAAAACGTCGAGATTTGTAAAAATCTCGATTTTTTTTTTGCACGATTACAATACTTTCTCTATACTTCGTATATACGAGAAAGTAAAAATTAAGATTTTTGCAAATCTCGACGTTTTAAACCTCCCTGAGTCGGAAAAAACATAATTTTGCAATCTTGTCCGGATGTCTGTGTGTGTGTGTATGTGTGTGTGTGTGTCTGTAAACACGATAACTTGAGTACCGTTACAGCTAGGTTGATGAAATTTCATATTGAAGTATTATATCAAAATCGTAGATCCGTATCAACTTTTGAGCGATTTCCAATAACGGGAAGTGGAGCCTTTTCTACTTTGAATTTTTCAAAAGCCTATAACTTGAGTACTATTTCAGATACATACATAAAATTTCACAAGTAATTAAAAGTTGTAATTATCTGCATTCTATCAAATTTTGAGTAATTTCCGTTGACCGGAAGTAGTAATTTACGCTATTTCCGATTTCTCAAAAAAAAAATAAACGCATGTAAATTTATAAAGCACTAATAATATTCCGTACGATTATGCACATTTTGTTTTCGCGTTTGCTCGGTGCGCAATTCTTTTTTCAACGAGATTCTATTCTATTTTAAAAAGTTTAGGTAATTAAAAATCATGTCTATATCACGAGTAGCCATCCCACATAGTGTTATATAAGAATATTCGAGAAAGTTTAGGGGAGATTACTCCCTGTTTGTTTTTTAATTTGATTAGTTGTCTCACGATGGATATACTTTCCATTAAAATAGGTTCAATTACTAAATTAGGAAATACATTAATCTAAAATTTAGTGAAACAGTCTGTTTATACAGACATATATATATATATATATATATATATATATATATATATATATATATATATATATATATATATATATATATATAGGTTCAATTACTAAATTAGGAAATACATTAATCTAAAATTTAGTGAAACAGTCTGTTTATACAGACATATATATATATATATATATATATATATATATATATATATATATATATATATATATATATATATATATATATATATATATGGGGCGTGGTCTTACAAGAATCGGGCGTGGTTAATAATTCTTGCTGCCCTCACCACCAGTGTAAGGCGTGTCTACGAGCTTAGCTAAACTTGAACAGACTAACATTTTAAACTCTCCAGCAAGAGAAAACCTTTAGAAAATGTTAGTATTCTAATGATTTCTTTTTTATTAATGACTTGAAAATATTCTACGATTGATATATTTTATTTTGTTTTAAAGGCTTTGATTTGTCTCACTAAGTGTGTGTGTACGTGTATGTGTGTACGTTTGAGAGTGCATGCGCACGTGTGTGTGTCTCCGCAAATCTTGGCATATTAATTTAAAACAACTCTCATTGTCTGATTGAGCTGAAATTTGAACAGTGGTAGTTCTTGCGTGCCAACGCTTTAATTTGAAGTCATGCCAGCACATAGTAAGGATTAACAGCACTAAATTTATTTTATACTATTTAGTGCATTTTTCTAATTTGTCATCTTTTTTGTGATTTGTAATATAGTAAAAGCCTTTTTACAAGCTTTTATATAACTTACTTTCTCTGTCGTCAGTCATCAAAAAGGGCGAGCGAAATTTCAGGCACTTCTAACTGACAGATTTGTTTCGAAGTTGGCACGTTGGTCAAAAGTTGAAGACAATGCAATCTGGCAATAAATCTGACTTAATTGGATGCCTAATTAATTTTGTATAGGTTTATTAAAATTTTCTGAAATTAGTGGGCACCCTTGTTATACTAGTTGCTCACTATTATACGCGCGTTATCATGTTCATGGTGCGCTTTAGGTTTTATTCATGCAACTCTATTATATTAAACATTTTCAAGTACAAAATAAAATTGCATGAATACGTTTTAGTAACAAGCGTTTATGTAAGAATGCACTAAAATTTGTGTCCAAATATGTATAGATGATCTTGATAAATGTATATGTGACGAGAAAGGTCAAGGTCACCACAGTTTTGTTGTACCTAGTTACAATGCCAGACCCAGCTGCTGAACTTTCCCAGTCGGTCGCCTTTCTGTCCCCTCCTGTTTTTCTTTCAGACTTTTTTCTCTGTGAGGGAGTGGGAAGGGGGGGAGGGGGCACATGTAAAATTATATATTTTCTATATAAATTATATATTTCGTTGTAGGAAGGGAGGGGGCGGTGTACGTTCTACGCGTGAATCAGATTCTTTGAGAGCTTATTCAAATCGTGTGGCTAAGCAGAACATTACAAACGGTAACTCATCTAATCGTGTGGCTAGCAGAACATTACAAACGGTAACTCATCTAATCGTGTGGCTAGCAGAACATTACAAACGGTAACTCATCTAATCGTGTGGCTAGCAGAACATTACAGACGGTAACTCATCTAATCGTGTGGCTAGCAGAACATTACAAACGGTAACTCATCTAATCGTGTGGCTAGCAGAACATTACAAACGGTAACTCATCTAATCGTGTGGCTAGCAGAACATTACAAACGGTAACTAATCACTTGAGATCAATTCTAGACACGACTCATTCGGAATTGAGTTCACTCAGTTATTTGTAGTTCCTACTTTGAGCCGGGTTTTTAGAGGAGATAGGCGCTGGCTGTTGACAACACATTAGCTTTGATGTTTAGGATAGAAATGTTAGATCTCTGGCAGATTTCTATACAGGTCTAACACTGATTTTAGACCCTGCAATAGATACATTACTCGCGATGTAGTTTCAACAAATGTGCGCTAAATATTTTTAAAAAAATTCTGCACGTGTTTGCACCAAGACATAGCGTTCAATATAACATAAACAACAGCCATTACAAGTCTTATAGCAGGGTACTGTTATGGTCACGGAGTTGAATGGAGACAAGTGGATGAGATGAATCTAGTCCAACTAGTGTTGACATTTCTAGGCTTATGGTCCATAGCGGCACAGGGTAAGTGGGAGAGACTCTCTGTATGCCATCGACTTTATAAGAGGACACACACAGGGTAAAACTCCATTTTAGCGTATTTTATTCTCCGCTTGTCGCTTACCTCCAGTCGAGCGTATTTTATTATAACGAGCCGACCCGCAGCGTATCATACGCCGCTATTTAGTTGTTTTATTTTCTACTTTTCAGTAATTCATAATTTGTGTATTCGACAGTACCAATGCTGCCACTGAAAATATTTGCTGTAAAACACTAACCCCCCCCCCCCCTTTTCCCCTAACCCCGACCCTACACCCCCCCCCCCCCGTGAAAACAGCCTCCTCTTAGTTATTTCTTAGTTACCTATTGTAAGTTTAAAATCGAACTAAATTATCTGCCCCTAATAGAAACCCGGCTCTACGGCTCTACGATTTGTAAACATTTAGCTTTGTAAACATTTAGCGTGACCACAACTCACCAGACAATGTGGGGGTGGGATGGGGGTGGTAGTGATAGTGATAGCGAGAAAGAGAGGGGACTGCAAGGAGGCGCTTGCAGCTTGTTTTCTAACGGCTCCCAGAAGAGAATTATATATATATACGAGCCGGCCCGCGGCATAACATACGCCGCTATTTAGTTGTTTCTAATTTTCAGTAATTCATAATTTGTGAATTCGACAGTACCAACGCTGACACTGAAAATATTTCTTTAAAACACTATAAGTAGCTCGTTAAGGACCATAACCCCCCCCCCCTTCCCTCCTCCCCTACGTTTAAAACCGTTGGCTCTGCTTGTAAACATTTAGAGTGAACACAGCTCACTAAAACCATGTAGGGGTGGGGAGGTAGGGAGCGCGTTTACAGCTTGTTTTCTAGGCGCGTTTGCAGCTTGTTTTCTAGCGGCTCCCAGAAGAGAATTATAAATATAGAAATATATATATATATAACCGAAACACACCATAACATTAGGAAAACACGATTTATTTATTTGTATTGTATTTTTGTTTTCACAAATGAATAAAAATGAATATTAGAAAAAAAGACTTTGTGTTGTATTTTTTAGCGCAATTTCCATTCTGGAGAATTGCGTTTATTAACGCGTCATTTCTGGATGGATGGATGGATGGATGAATGTATGGATGAATGTGTGTCCGGGCTTTAAGTCGTATCTCCTCCTCAACGAAGCAATATCGATGACTAGTTCCAAAAGCAATTATGTTAAGCAAGTTACAAGAATGAGCATAGGCCATAAAAATTCCGGGTTTCTTTCATGTATTTCCCGGAAAAGCCAAAAAACCTCGAAAAAAAGCAGTTTTTGGCCCATATCTCGTCAACCAGACCACTTAGCGACTTGAAAAATGTACCAATCGATTCCTGCCATAATTTAGAGCAATATTGCCGAAGAAAGTTTTCAAAAATATCCTCTCGTTTGGTCACAAATTTTAAAATTACAAAAACACCTACAAACCGATTGTTCTTCTAGCTTGAACGCATCCCAGCATTATACGTCAGAGCTATTTTTAGATAACATAAGGAAATTGCGCATAAATGTCACTAGACTTTTTTAATTAACTTGTTTTTAAAAGGCATTCGTCTCAAGGTAAATCTGATACACTGTTAATTATTCTGTATTATAATTTTGTATTTGCGCTATAAATCCAAATTTTAATTTGACAGTTTTGCCAAAACTGAAAAAAATATTTTTACTATAGAGTTTGTATATTATTTAAATTCATAGTAGATCTACCATCCTTCCCAATATGTTGATATATGTATCAAGTATGATTTTTTGTATGAGTAAATTTCTGACTTTTAAAAAAAAAATGATGTGGGGTCGTCCATAAATGACGTCACACTCGTAGGGGAGAGGGGGGTCCGCAATTTTGTGACGGTGTGTGATGAGGGGGGGTGTTCAGATGGTGTGACGTCAGTTTTTTTGCATTATAAAAAAGCAATGTTAGAAAACGAGTTTTAGCCATTATTTCGCGTTTTAGAAAACGGTTTAATAAATTGTAATAGGAATTGATCAAAATACTCTATGTTGACAGAGTTCTTGCAAGATTTTTAAGAAAAATTCAACAGCAATTTTGAGGGGGGGGGTATAGGCTGAGGCTTGACGCCATTTTAGGGGGGTGGTCTGGCTTTTTGTTACGACGTGTGACGGAGGGGAGGGAGGGAGGTAAAACTCGTTTTAAAAAGCGTGACGTCATTTATGGATGACCCCCTGTAATACATTTGTATTATTTAGCTGTTTGTTTTACTATTTAAATTCATGCACCACGATTGTATTTTTTTTACAATATTAATTATATTAGTCTATTTCTGTACAGCCTTAAAAATGCGAAATAACGTATGAAATTTAGTGTCTAACACTATTTTTTTAAAATGGCAACGTGAGTTGTCACACTTTCTCTAACATTCCAAGCCATCCCTCACCAAATTCCACCCCCTCCCCACTTTCGGCAGCATTATTAGGGGTCATACATAAACGACGTTACGCTTTTTTTGACGATGTTTACCTCCAGAGTTTCTTCCAGGCATCTCTTCAGGGGGAAGGGGCAAAGCCCCCCCCCCCCCCCGAAATTTTTTTACCGCCCCCCCCCCCCCCCCCCGAACGAAATGAAATTTATATAATTTATATAGAAAATAGATACTTTTAACAGTGTCCGCCGCCTCGAAGAAAGTTTACCGCCCCCCCCCCGAAGATTTCAAGAGCCCCCCCCCCCCCCCCGGAGAAAAAAGTCTGGAAGAAACACTGTTTACCTCCCCCCCCCCGTCAAACGTCGTCATAAAAACCCAGACGCCCCCTAAAATGACGTCACACCTCAGCCTACAACCCCCCCCCCCTAAAAATTGAATTGCTGTTGAATTTTTTTTTCTAAACATCGATATTTAATTTTTTCTAAAATCTTGTCTGAACTCTGTCAAATAGATTATTTTAATCAACTCCAATTACAATTTATTAAAACAGTTTTCTAAAACGCGAAATAACGTCTAAAATTTGTTTTCTAACATTGCTTTTTTATAATGCAAAAGTGTGACGTTGCACCATCTGACCCCCCCCCCTTCATAACACACCGTCACAAAATTACGGACCCCCCTCCCCCCTACGAGTGTGACGTCATTTATGGACGACCCCTTATGCCTTTTAATTTTTAATACTTCTATTCAGTTTAGTTGAAATTAGAGCACTTATTTGTACAAAGTGTGCATCTCTATTTTTGTAACTAACAAACAAAGCATTTCAGTCAGTCTCTTTGTTGTTTTTATTCATTTGTTAAAACAAAAATACAATACAAATAAATAAGTCGTGTTTTTTTAATATTCATTTTTATTCATTTGTGAAAAACAAAAATACAATACAAATATATAAATCGTGTTTTCCTAATGTTATGGTGTGTTTCGGTTATTATAATAAAATACGTTCGACTGGAGGTAAGCGACAAGCGGAGAATAAAATACGCTAAAATGGAGTTTTACCCACACACAGTATATTAAAGAAACTTGATATACATAAGATATCAGAAATAACCCAGCACAACAGTCAGGAATGAACCATAACTGTGGGTCAGGCATCAATAAAACTTATCCCTGGCTTAACACAAGCCCAAGGGATACAACTAATCAAAACCAATGCTGTGGGTCAGGCATCAATAAACCTTATCCCTGGCTTAACAAAAGCCCAAGGGATACAACTAATCAAAACCAATGCTGTGAATAATTCCCACACAGGAGGGTACAGGCCTGAGCCTAAATATTAACCAAACATAAAATTAGAGACTTTATACTTAAGTCTAGCTACCCCACGTGGTCAGACCACAACGGTGACAACAAGCAAATACATGGACAGAAAAGTTAGCCCATGGCCTGCAAGCAAATACATGGACAGAAAAGTTAGCCCATGGCCTGCAAGCAAATACATGGACAGAAAAGTTAGCCCATGGCCAAGAAGCAAATACATGGACAGAAAAGTTAGCCCATGGCCTGCAAGCATCATAAAACAGAAACAAAAGAGCAACCATCTTATCAGGCTGCAGAAATGAAACAACAGTATAACAACTGGATGAGGCAGTGCTGACATTTTATGCTTCGGATGGTCTAGGCCAGTGGTTCCCAACCTTTTTTTTACTCTAGAGCACATTCTAAAATATCGGTAGGGTGGCGGGCACCACCTATTTTAAATCGACAAACTCCTTCCTGAGGCGTAGCGACCCTTCCCGTCACCCGGGGACAAAACTTTCGATTTGCACCCCCCCCCCCCTTCCCCGTCAAATTTTCGATTTGCACCTCCCCCTCAAACTTTCGATTTGCACCACCCCCCCCCCTCAAACTTTCGATTTGCACACCCCCCCTCAAATTTTCGATTTGCACCACTCCCCCTCAAACTTTTGATTTCCATCCCCTTCAACCTTTAAATAATGTTTATGAAAAAAATTCTGTCTCTGTCGAATAGTGAGAGGCGGGCACATACGAATCGTTCGGCGGGCGCCATGGCGCACGCGGGCACAGGGTTGGGAACCCCTGGTCTAGGCTCTGACCACACAGACACCTCCCTCATCCCCATGGCTTTCAAAAGTCACTTTGAAACATCTGCCCGGAACTGACATCCACACACCTCGCACACTACACGTCAACAAATAGTCCCTAATCCACTGATTATAAACAACACGCCACGAAACATAAGCCAGAATTATACAAAAAGACACTTAATATAAATATTGACAACAATATAAACAAAATATATACAAACTAGCCGTAGACGTTGCAGTTATACAGGGGTGCCATAATACAGGACTACATAACCAATATGCACGAACAGTTTACGACATGAAACGAAACGATACATTCGCCTTTTTAGCTACAGAAAATAATAATTATAATAAGACACTCCAGCCACTCACATCTACATCATAAATCCATCCTTATACGATCTGTCCTCAAGTTGGTCTAATAAACGTAGTGGAGTTCCAGCTCTATAGATTCAATAGTAGTATATGGGGTCAGGACGTGGTATATTGTCTCACAAATTTGATGATATCTTTAGTAGGGACGGCTCAATGCATAAGGCACTGTATCAAAAACTTGACCAAAACTTTCGCAGGTATCTTTGAGAGTATAATCACTTGCACGTTAAACTACTGGACATTTACCACTGTTGTAATAAACTAACAAAACAACGTACCGAAATAAAATCCCAGTCGTAAATTCCGGGAGGTTGGTGTCCGGGTGTGGATATCTGGGTGTAGCCTACATGTCTACACAGTTCTACGGGAGGTTGGTGTACGGGTGTGGATATCTGGGTGTAGCCTACATGTCTACAGGGTTCTACGGGAGGTTGGTGTCCGGGTGTGGATATCTGGGTGTAGCCTACATGTCTACAGGGTTCTACGGGAGGTTGGTGTCCGGGTGTGGATATCCGGGTGTAGCCTACATGTCTACAGGGTTCTACGGGAGGTTGGTGTCCGGGTGTGGATACCCGGGTGTAGCCTACATGTCTACAGGGTTCTACGGGAGGTTGGTGTCCGGGTGTGGATATCCGGGTGTAGCCTACATGTCTACAGGGTTCTACGGGAGGTTGGTGTCCGGGTGTGGATATCCGGGTGTAGCCTACATGTCTACAGGGTTCTACGGGAGGTTGGTGTCCGGGTGTGGATATCCGGGTGTAGCCTACATGTCTACAGGGTTCTACGGGAGGTTGGTGTCCGGGTGTGGATATCCGGGTGTAGCCTACATGTCTACAGGGTTCTACGGGAGGTTGGTGTCCGGGTGTGGATATCCGGGTGTAGCCTACATGTCTACAGGGTTCTACGGGAGGTTGGTGTCCGGGTGTGGATATCCGGGTGTAGCCTACATGTCTACAGGGTTCTACGGGAGGTTGGTGTCCGGGTGTGGATATCCGTGTGTAGCCTACATGTCTACAGGGTTCTAAACCAAATAATTTCATTCGTGTGGTGTCTACTTTCATTAAGAACAAATTACTGTAAAACTACAATACATATAAATATTTTTTAAAATTCATAAAAAACGTTTTATTTACAAGCTTTTATCTCCCACTTAATTTTTAAAACTTGTTTTTAAAAAAAATTAAATGCGATATTTTAAAAGGATGTTAAAGTTTTTAAAAATTAAATTGCTAATTTCTCCCGCTAGTTTTGTCCCTGGATACATTGACTCTGGACAATCACTGCACCAAGACGTTGCCTGAGTACCGTAGAGGTCACATCCAGAAACTAAGTGTACTCAACGTTGTCAGTTTCTGCAGGTAAACCCTGTCCACACATCCTGCAGGTAAAACCTGTCCACACATCCTGCAGGTAAAAACCGTCCACAGATCCTGCAGGTAAACCCTGTCCACACATCCTGCAGGTAAACCCTGTCCACACATCCTGCAGGTAAAACCTGTCCACACAACCTGCAGGTAAAACCTGTCCACACATCCTGCAGGTAAAAACCGTCCACAGATCCTGCAGGTAAACCCTGTCCACACATCCTGCAGGTAAACCCTGTCCACACATCCTGCAGGTAAAACCTGTCCACACAACCTGCAGGTACAACCTGTCCACACATCCTGCAGGTAAAACCTGTCCACACAACCTGCAGGTAAAACCTGTCCACACATCCTGCAGGTAAAACCTGTCCACACAACCTGCAGGTACAACCTGTCCACACATTCTATACTTACATCCAGACCTTACTATTTTGAATCTAGACCTAATGACAGACCTCCCCCCTTTCCCCACCCTCCACCCCCATCCTTCAGTGATCCACAGGCCTATAGTCAGTGTATCCTGGATTCAAGACGTGATAACCACACAAATCAGACATACATGGTCAAATTGTTCGAGAAACAATTTCCTAAAGAGTACGATCTTAAGCGTGCGGCATATATCCTATGTACCAAAGGCACGACATACTGTAAGTAGAGAAATGTTGTAAGTAGAAAAAAGTTGTAAGTAGAGAAAAGTTATAGGTAGACAAAAGTTGTAGGTAGATAAATGCTGTAAGTAGACAAAAGTTGTTAGTAGACAAGTTGCAATTAAGTAAAGTTCCCTTTCAAACCTGAGGTCTATGGGGCAAGTGAAGTAGAGTTCACCTGTTTCTGGAACGGAGTGGCCTAGCGGTAGAAAGTTAAACTGCTAACCCGTAATTCTCGCGTTCGAATCCGGATTCAAGTCAGTAGACCGTCACTGAGCCCACCCAGCTCTGATGGGTACCTAACTCAGTTAGGGTAGTAAAGGCGGCTGGGCATAGTGCTGACCACACTATCCCTTCATATGCCGAGGTCACAGAAACAAGACAAAACTTGTAAGTAGACAAAAGTTGTTAGTAGACAAAAGTTGTTAGTAGACAAAACTTGTAAGTAGACAAAAGTTGTTAGTAGACAAAACTTGTAAGTAGACAAAAGTTGATAGTAGACAAAACTTGTAAGTAGACAAAAGTTGTTAGTAGACAAAAGTTGTTAGTAGACAAAAGTTGTAAGTAGACAAAAGTTGTTAGTAGACAAAAGTTGTTAGTAGACAAAAGTTGTTAGTAGACAAAAGTTGTTAGTAGACAAAAGTTGTAAGCAGACATAACAAAATCTGTAAAAAGTTGTTTGTTTAAGTATGTTTGCAAGTAGACAAAGATTATAAGCACATCACGACACAGTACACCGATGTAAACATTTTTGTATTTGAATGTTTAGTTCTTGCTCTCATATGAGGTGAGGTTCTAAACTAACTATAACCTTAACACTTACTGGAAATAACAATCAAAACAAAAACAAAACAAAGATGTCATGAGTCATGTTACAAGATGTCATGTCATGGCTCAGTGTTACATGATGTCATGTCATGGCTCAGTGTTACAAGAAGTCATGTCATTGGTCAGTGTTACAAAATGTCATGTCATGGCTCAGTGTTACAAAATGTCATGTAATTGACAACTACTCAACACGTGTCCTTTCTTGTAGAAATATTTTAAAGTGTGTACACAAGTGACCAGTGTTGTCAGATGTCATTACTTTATGCAGTGTCAAAGTTCGCTTCATTTGACTACAAAGTTTTAATTGACTGCGAGATGTCCGCTGACATTGACCAATGTGAGATCGAAGCCACCTCGGCCGAGAGATTACAAATCTTAACGGCAGCCTTTGCCTCCAACAACCAAGCGGATATCGAGCAACATTCATGCAAGTGGGTTCAATCTTTTATTTTCTTTACATTACCATCACTTTCTAAGATATTTTTATACTAATATTTTATTCCTTGAATATGGTTTCATAAGTAGGTAACACTTGCAATTTTTAAAAGTTATATCTAGAACGTGTATTTAAGCAATCCGTTTTCGAAATAGTGTATTATCTGGAAGGTAATTCTCTATTTGCTTAAGTCATAAATGTGCGCGGTTATCTCTTAATGTGTTGTTTTACTTAGCATACTTTGCAACTTATTTTGGAAATAACAAGTACGTAATTAATTGCATGTAATGTTGACTTATTTTAGACAATATTCTTAGAGAAATAAAAATTCATTAAGTTACCCAGACTGTCAATAGATTACATGGTGTGTATCCAAGCCCAGTACACCAAATGTAACCAAACCTCTAACATGTTCCCTGTTTCTGTTCCCCAGACTGTCACTAGACTACATGAAGTGTATCCAAGCCCAGTACACCAAATGGAACCAAACCTCTAACATGTTCTCTGTTTCTGTTCCCCAGACTGTCACTAGACTACATGAAGTGTATCCAAGCCCAGTACACCAAATGGAACCAAACCTCTAACATGTTCCCTGTTTCTGTTCCCCAGACTGTCACTAGACTACATGAAGTGTATCCAAGCCCAGTACACCAAATGGAACCAAACCTCTAACATGTTCCCTGTTTCTGTTCCCCAGACTGTCACTAGACTACATGAAGTGTATCCAAGCCCAGTACACCAAATGGAAACAAACCTCTAACATGTTCTCTGTTTCTGTTCCCCACACTGTCACTAGACTACATGAAGTGTATCCAAGCCCAGTACACCAAATGGAACCAAACCTCTAACATGTTCCCTGTTTCTGTTCCCCAGACTGTCACTAGACTACATGAAGTGTATCCAAGCCCAGTACACCAAATGGAACCAAACCTCTAACATGTTCCCTGTTTCTGTTCCCCACACTGTCACTAGACTACATGAAGTGTATCCAAGCCCAGTACACCAAATGGAACCAAACCTCTAACATGTTCCCTGTTTCTGTTCCCCAGACTGTCACTAGACTACATGAAGTGTATCCAAGCCCAGTACACCAAATGGAACCAAACCTCTAACATGTTCCCTGTTTCTGTTCCCCAGACAGTCACTAGACTACATGAAGTGTATCCAAGCCCAGTACACCAAATGGAACCAAACCTCTAACATGTTCCCTGTTTCTGTTCCCCAGACTGTCACTAGTCTACATGAAGTGTATCCAAGCCCAGTACACCAAATGGAACCAAACCTCTAACATGTTCCCTGTTTCTGTTCCCCAGACTGTCACTAGACTACATGAAGTGTATCCAAGCCCAGTACACCAAATGGAACCAAACCTCTAACATGTTCCCTGTTTCTGTTCCCCAGACTGTCACTAGACTACATGAAGTGTATCCAAGCCCAGCACACCAAATGGAACCAAACCTCTAACATGTTCCATGTTTCTGTTCCCCAGACTGTCACTAGACTACATGAAGTGTATCCAAGCCCAGTACACCAAATGGAACCAAACCTCTAACATGTTCCCTGTTTCTGTTCCCCAGACTGTCACTAGACTACATGAAGTGTATCCAAGCCCAGTACACCAAATGGAACCAAACCTCTAACATGTTCCCTGTTTCTGTTCCCCAGACTGTCACTAGACTACATGAAGTGTATCCAAGCCCAGTACACCAAATGGAACCAAACCTCTAACATGTTCCTTGTTTCTGTTCCCCAGACTATCACTAGACTTCATAAAGTGTATACAAGACCAGTACACCAAATGGAACCAAACCTCTAACATGTTCCCTGTTTCTGTTCCCCAGACTGTCACTAGACTACATGAAGTGTATCCAAGCCCAGTACACCAAATGTAATAAGCATTTTAAGGACTTTTTTATTTATCAGTTTGCTCGCCTTGGCCCGTAAGTTACATCAATTACCTGTAGCTGGTTTTTTTTCGCTAAACATCGAAATTTACGATATGTTATTGCGGGAGATTTCAAACGTTTTCCTGAAAAACAAATTTTCTCTACTTGAAAAATTATCTCATGTTTTTATCTTGACTTACCTCAGAGTCCAATGTTTGTATCTTGACTTACCCCAGTGTCCAATGTTTGTATCTTGACTTACCCCAGTGTCCAAAGTTTGTATCTTGACTTACCCCAGTGTCCAAAGTTTGTATCTTGACTTACCCCAGTGTCCAAAGTTTGTATCTTGACTTACCCCAGCGTCCAATGTTTGTATCTTGACTTACCACAGCGTCTAATGTTTGTATCTTGACTTACCCCAACGTCTAATGTTTGTATCTTGACTTACCACAGCGTCCAATGTTTGTATCTTGACTTACCACAGCGTCCAATGTTTGTATCTAGACTTGACAAGATTCTAACGGTTGGTTTCTCAGAGCCTGTCTATTGGAGCACCAGTTTTATAACAAGTTGATTCTCACGGACAAGTGCATGGCAAATTTACCCATAACCAGCGGGGCGTTGTTAGTCGGAACAGGGGCGTGGTCTTTTAGGACAGGGTCGTGGCTGATGTTTGCTGTAGCCTTTGTTAATAGTGTAGGGCGTGTCCATATGCTCAGATAAAATCTGGCTTGCTTAGTTCTTGGCTATCTTCTGTAGCTGGGTGCAACAAAATATGTTTTGAAAATGTTTTTATTTTTAAGTATTATCTAGGAAAACATTAAAAAGTTATTTCTGCATTGAAAAAAAAAACACGTTTTTCTTTGTTTCTTTGGAGATTCTGCGCTTATATTAAACAAACAATGAATGAATAATTTTTTTTTGCATAGACAAAACGTCAGCAGTACATTTTTGAGTCACTTGTCACTATTTTTACAAGCTTTTATTTAACTCACTTCCTCTGTCGACAGTCTGTCGACAGTCTGTCTAGATCAGTGGTTCCCAACCTTTTTCGAGTGGCGACCCCCTTTTATAAAAAGTAAGTGACCCGCGACCCCCATAAAATTAAAAGCCGAAATTAGTATGGACATTAATGACTAAAAAAAATTTCTAGAAGACAGTCAATATGAACTACTCTTGATAACTGTTTCAATACGATGAGTAAAATTGCATGCTATTTACTAAACATTCGCGGTTAACTTATTGTTAACGCCAACCTATGTTATCAACATTGAATGTATTTCTTAATTTTGTTTTTAATCGAAGAATAGTGTTGAAAATCTATTCTCGAAAATACATTTAAGTATGAATGGTGAACACTACACCAAAATTGTGTGTGCAGTTTTTCATCTTGCGCGGAATCATTCTGCAAATCAAATAATTCATCTTGTAATTCATCAGGAATGCTGGCAAAATCAAGGGAAGAAGAGAATGGGTAATGCGTAAATGCAGATTCTTCTCTTTTCAGCTCAGAGAAATAGCGATGCAGTTCGTTTTCAAGAGATTCAAGATGCCCAGAAATCGCTTCTTTCAAAATTTTAATTATCTCACAATCAGATTCATCTACCACACTGCAGAGTTTCTCAAATTTACAATATTTCCAAGATTTATTTTCTTCGCCAATTCTGCAGCTTTGATAAAAATGCCCCCGAGATTATCATGGAAAGTTCATTTTCCCTGAAGCTTCAGGTTAAGCTTATGTTGATGTTCGAATGTACCTCTCCAACCACTCTATTTCGTATACCAAAAGGTCTTGTTTCCTTTGCACTTCCAAGAACAATTTGATTTCAAATTTCAATTAAAAAACACGATTCACAACAATCGTTTGACAGTCAGCGTACTGTAATGTAGAAAAGCAGAACCTCGTAATCTATATTAATGTCTTTGCTCAGTTTTTTGAAGGTTCCAGATTTAATATAATGTACTACTTTTACTAGCAATGGAGTCTTGATGGAGAGGGCATACTGGTAAATCATGCAGTGGTCAGGGAGCTATATCTTTTCTATTTTATGAAAGGCCGATTTTGACCTAAACATAGATAGTGCACCATCCGTACAAACCCCCACAGCCATTTTAACTCATTTTTGTCATCACATTTTTTTTAAAAAACGTATTTTCTCCACGCTATCTTCACAAAATAGCAACTCTTCTTTGCTATCATCTGAATGAATATAGACAAAGACCAGCAACTGCGAACAAGAACTCAACGTCTGTTGATTTATCAAATTGAAAAGCAAGCAATGTTGAAAGCTTGATTTCATTAAACATTTGTTATTTAACATCTACGGACATGTCTGCTATAAGCTGCTGAATAGTATTATTAGACAGAGATATTTTTTGCATTTTTATTGCACTAGAATCCCCAAGAATTAACTTCACAATCTTCAACATGCAGCAGCGTTTGATGAGATTTTCTCCTACTGTGTTTTTATTTTGCTTGGCATTTTCTATAACGACTTGATGCTTGCACTAATGCTGTGTTTTCTTGGTGAAAACTTCCTGTTCGATCGAGTCTCTGACGTTTGCAACTAGCTTCATGCCGACGAAAGAACTCCATATATTTTTTGGTGTGTTCAGAATGACTTGTCTCAAATGACGTTTTAGTTTTGAAGATTTCATAAACGCGTGACTGAGAACAACATTATACAGTACTCATTGATTCTTCTCTATTCCATTTCCAGTTATGTTAGTAAAGCCGAATTTTAGATATTTTGCTAAATATTTATGTTTTGTTTCTCATTAATAAGGTTTAATATACCAGTTGGCGACCCCCCAGAAAGCCCTTCGCGACCCCCAGGGGGGTCGCGACCCCCAGGTTGGGAACCCGTGGTCTAGATGGAAACGCAGGAGTGAAAATTCGGAAACTTCTACTTGACCGATACGATTCACACTTGGCACGTGGGTCAAGACATGAAGACAATGCAATCTGAAACTAAATTTGACTTAATTGGATGCCTAATTAATTTTTTATGAATTAATTAAAATTTGGACCGAATTAGTAGGCATGTCTAGCCAACCACACCACACGCGTCATCACCTTCAATAGCAGCGCCATCACGTAATGGCTGCGTTCAAAAACCATTGCGCGCCTACTGAACGTGATGTTCAGTAGGCGCGCAATGGTTTTTAGTCATGTAACTCTATTGTAAATAAAACATGTAAAGTACTGAAAAAAAATTCATAAAAAACGTTTTAATAACAAGCTTTTATGTAATGATGCACTAAAAAGTAGAAAATAAATTATAGACTACTATTTAAATAACTATAAAGAAAAGCGTGGGTGTCTTCCTTAACATTAGTAAAGGTATCCAATAGATACTAAAGTGACCCACGCTTTTCTTTATAGTTATTTAAATAGTAGTCTATAATTTATTTTCTACTTTTTAGTGCATCATTACATAAAAGCTTGTTATTAAAACGTTTTTTATGAATTTTTTTACAAGCTTTTATTTAACTCACTTCCTCGTCAGTCGTCAGTCTAGACGGAAACGCAGGAGTGAAAATTCGGACAGTTCTACTTGACCGATACGATTCACAGTTGGCACGTGGGTCAAGACATGAAGACAATGCAATCTGAATCGAAATTTGACTAAATTAGATGCCTAATTAATTTTTTATGAATTAATAAAAATTTGGACCGAATTAGTAGGCATGTCTAGCCAACCACACCACACGCGTCATCACCTTCAATAGCTGCGCCATCACGTAATGGCTGCGTTCAAAAACAATTGCGCGCCTACTGAACGTGATGTTCAGTAGGCGCGCAATGGTGTTTAGTCATGTAACTCTATTGTAAATAAAACATGTAAAGTACTGAAAAAAAATTCATAAAAAACGTTTTAATAACAAGCTTTTATGTAATGATGCACTAAAAAGTATAAAATAAATTATAGACTACTATTTAAATAACTATAAAGAAAAGCGTGGGTGTCTTCCTTAACATTAGTAAAGGTATCCAATAGATACTAAAGTGACCCACGCTTTACTTTATAGTCTATAATTTATTTTCTACATTTTAGTGCATCATTACATAAAAGCTTGTTATTAAAACGTTTTTTATGAATTTTTTACAAGCTTTTATTTAACTCACTTCCTCGTCAGTCTGTCTAGACCGAAACGCCGGAGTCAAAATTTGGAAACTTCTACTTGATCGATACGATTCACACTTGGCACGTGGGTCATGACATGAAGACAATGCAATCTGAAATTAAATTTGACTTAATTGGATGCCTAATTAATTTTTTATGAATTAATTAAAATTTGGACCGAATCAATAGGCATGTCTATCCAACCACACCACACGCGTCATCACGTTTAATAGCTGCTCCATCACCTTCAGTAGGCGCGCCATCACATTCAGTAGGCGCGCAACAGTTTTTAGTCATGTAACTCTATTGTAAATAAAACATTTAAAGTACTGAAAAAAAAATTCATAAAAAAACGTTTTAATAACAAGCTTTTATGTAATAGTGCACTAAAAAGTAGAAAATAAATTATAGACTACTATTTAAATAACTAGAAAGAAAAGCGTGGGTGTCTTCCTTAACATTAGTAAAGGTATCCAATAGATACTAAAGTGACCCACGCTTTTCTTTATAGTTATTTAAATAGTAGTCTATAATTTGTTTTCTACTTTTTAGTGCACTATTACATAAAAGCTTCTCGGGCAGATGAGGCTCGTTAGCTGGGGACAGCCACTCTTCTAGGAGAGACAACTCTAAAATTAAACAACTGCTGCCTTGTAGTTTGTTCTTGGTTGGACAAAGGCTATGGAAGCAAATCCAAAAAGAAAAGCAGGCTGAAATCTGAGTCAATGGCCTCAATGGCGCATAACCAGTTGACAGGTAACGCTTAATTGTGTTGGAGGCGTGGTCGAGTCGGCAAAAAGCTCATGGTTGATAAATTCGAACAAAGTCTCGAGTTCAAACCCACTGGCAGATAAATCTCGATCCTCTTCAACACTAATAATTAAGAACGAAGAAGAAGAAGAAGACATAAAAGCTTGTTATTAAAACGTTTTTTTATGAATTTTTTTTTACTATATAAACAAAACACTAACTTCAGACAATGCAATAGATACATTACACGCGATATAGTTTCAACAAATGTTGCTAAATATTTTTTTTAAAATTCTGCACGTGTTTGCACCAAGACACTGCGTTCAATAGAACATAAACAACAGCCAACTCAAGTCTTAGAGCAGGGTACTGCTGTGGTCAGGGAGTTGAATGGAGACAAGTGGATGAGATGGTTCTAGTCCGAGTTTTGTTGACATTTCTTGGTTGCTGGTCCGTAGCAGCACAGGGTGAGTGGTTCACTAGAGCATATTGTACTGACTGTAAAGATGACATAGTGTTATGTCAGGAACTTAATTTAGATTCAACTGAGTTTGCAAATCTCATATCAGATATACACAGCATTGTCTTCTATAGTGGACAAGCCGTCAGTACCCGTTACACGTGAATTATAGGCCTATATATTTTATTGTTCTACTTGTTTAAAAAAAATATTTAAAAAGTATTGGTCAAAACTTATAACGCTATGTACTTTACTATACGTTGAACGATATTAGCGACAAAGCAGATAAATAACTAAATAGCTAAAAACTTCCGACACATAAAATAACATAGACTACCAATACCTATTAGAGAAATATCATTTGTCAACACAACACCATATTAAATGCACACACTGATTAAGTGGCTTAAAATTAAAAGACAAATGATTTCTTTAAAAACCTGGCTGTTTAATGGTAGTTATGTTGTTTTTGTCAGAGGCGTAGCTAGGGGAGGGAG